AAACTGATTTTCTAGTGTGCTCCTAGCTAGAAAATTATAATTTTAGGCCTTCTCTCATTGTCATTGACTTCAGGAAAATTATAAAAAATCATACATATATAAAATCAGCTTTTGGGCTATTGCAATGTCAAAAACACCATGAAATACCTTACAGCCTACATATTCAAAAGAAGCTCCTATTGTTCTTGGGAGGTACATATTCATAGGTTAATAGTACTCAGTCCAATTACTTTGATCTAAAGCTACAATTTCTAGAATTTACTCATTTCAGCCTTTTGTTTGGTTAGCTTTTCTTATTTACAGAAAACTCACTTGAAAGGGATGTTTGTTTCACTGTTTTTCTGAGCATTACAAAGAAGCGATGTGAGTTCTTAGCTTAAGATTGGAACAAATGCCTTGTTCAAGAGCTCTTTCAAGTAGTGACAGATATTCTTTTCATATGGTTTGGACTTCTTGTGTGAAAGGTTCTTTGAAATTTTGGGTTATGTAAGAACTTACGGGGAAAGCTGGCTTTTAAAACATACTGTCTCTACTATGAAACTGTTGTAAACATTATGAGGAAGTGATGAAACCTAGAATAGTATCCTGATCAACAGATGGCCCTGGGTAGGATATTCTTCACTATTTGTCCTATAAATAAGCACTGTTGTGTGAAAAAAGACCTGCCCTGGGGAAAGACATAAGGCTAACAAGGGAAGGTAATCAATCACTGCACACTATCTGTCAATCTGTCTTCATGTAAGCACTCAAACCAAAATAATCTGAACAGATATTTAGAAACCTTAATGGGATTTGAAAGCTAGCCAAGTCGCATTGCTTCGCTGATAGAACCACCAGTAGATACATGTAAGTATAATTCACAGAAGGAAAAAAAAAAACACAGATAAATTTAAACAAATTAATTAATTGCCATGATGAAAGCAACTGTGAGAACATTTTGTGTATATCCTCCCACCTCAAACACAAACATTCTCAAGTATGCAACTGTATGTCATTTCAGCTGTGTAATTACACATCGTTTCTCTCTCCCCAGGACTCACTTCATAAAATGGAAATGTTGGGATAGCAAACAACTAAGAACCCATTCATGTCCATTTTACTTGCTTTTTCAAAATGTCCCCATACTTTTATCACTGTTCAAAGAAAACAAACAAACAAACAAACAAACAAAACAACAAAAAGAACCCATCTCCAGTATGCTATTATTTTTGCACAGAAACACAGTACCACAGTACAATCTACCTTTCAATATATTTGCTGAGTGGCATATGTGGCAATGAATAAGGCTGCACTAAGGATGAACTGTCCCCCTCTCTTTGGCTTTATTCTCCCTCTACTCGGCTCTTGTGAGGCCCCATCTGCAGTACTGCGTCCAGGCCTGGGGCCCACAGTACAGGAAGGATGTGGAGCTCTTGGAGTGGGTCCAGAGGACGCAACTAAGATGATCAGAGGGCTGGAGCACCTCTCCTATGAGGAAACATTGAGGGAACTGGGCTTGTTTAACTTGGAGAAGAGAAGGCTCCGGGAAGACCTCATTGTGACCTTCCAGTACTTGAAGGGAACGTATAAACAGGAGGGGGAACAGCTGTTTACAAGGGTGGATAGTGAGAGGACAAGGGGGAATGGTTTTAAACTGAGACAGGGTAAGTTTAGGTTAGATATTAAGTTTTTCACTCAGAGGATGGTGATGCACTGGAACAGGCTGCCCATGGTGGTTGTGGATGCCCCATCCCTGCAGGCATTCAAGGCCAGGCTGGATGTGGCTCTGGGCAGCCTGGTCGGGTGGTTGGCAACCCTGCCATTGCAGGGGGATTGAAACTAGATGATCATTGTAGTGCTTTTCAACTCAGGCCGTTCTATGATTCTATGAGTCTATGAATTAATAAGTTAAGAACTAGCCCAAAAAAGAAGCTAGTTAGCATTAAAATGGGAATAGGGTCACAGACCAGCTCCTCTCAGCTTTCAGTTCATGGTCTTGCTGGGGACTTTCGCATGGCTAGCTAGATCAGAAATGGTGTTTTGTGGATTTTGTTTATTTTAGTTGCATTTTTATTTGGTGTATTTGTTCTCCTAGAAAGCAACTTGTTGGTTAGGATCTTACTCTTTTAAACCACATTTAGATCATCTATTCTGGATGGTTCTTCCCCGTAATATCTTCCTTGCCTGAAGGAATCCAAACTGGTCTTTCCTACCTCCAAGGCAAATGTTTTCTGAGTTCAGGTTTTCGGAGACTTCTGTTTAAACTCTTATGGTTTGCAAGAGTTCATTTCTTATTCATAGAAAAGAAAGAACCAAGACAGATTTGGGAGCTACAGTGGAGGAAATATCACCTGAAAATAGGAACCTCATTCCAGTCATCTCCGGCTAATGCTCAGTATTTTCAGTATTCACTGTAATTATAATTTAATCCCAGCTCAGTTAATACTCTGCTCTTCTTGTACCCTCTATTCTTCTTCTCCTGCTTTGCCAATCTGTCCAGTCATGCCTGTCTTATTCTGTCTTCCCCCACATGCTCAATATACTGATGCATATGTAGACACCACAGTATCTAATATAACACAGCTTTCAATACACCATCATACCTGATGAAGAAATGGCAAATGAACTACCGGTTTATGTGGGCCATCTCGTGGTAGAAGTGGAATACTACAAAGGAAATCATTTCAAACTTATCCTTCTGAAAGACATTTCAATACGATTTGCAAGGCACACAGAGTTACTTTGCTAATCAATGGTCTTCCCCTACACTGCAGTAAGCAAGATGATTAGGCTCACAAGCCATTCTCTGAATAACCTGAGAATATGGCCACAGATTCCTTTTCTTCTCTCAAGCATTAATCTTGAAAACTACCAGTTAGTTTTTCTGAAAAATGAAAACATGTTGTAAATCACTGAGAGTGGAAAAAAAGGTCTACTAAAAGGCTTTAGGAACAATTTTAAGCCTTCTGTTGGGTGAGCAGCAGAAAATTCTGGATCCATACACTTCTATTTTTGACTGGAAAAGGTATTTTAAGGAACAAACAGAAACTCTCACTGAATTCCGCAGACAGCATCTGCTTTGTTTATATCAGTGGAGTTTCAGGGCTGTGAAAGCGCCCTCCAGTTCTGTAACCTGCTCTCACCTTCACAGTGGTTGGGCTGTCCATGCAAGGCCAGCTTTGACATTGTGTTTCTGGGATGAACTTGGAGCAAAGTCTGTGCAAGAAAGATCATTAGCAACCTTGTGGAAAGTTTCTGTGCCCTGGCTCAGCAGCTGTGTTTAAGTGACTCTAAGCTCAAACCTTGGTCCCTGTGTCAGACCTATGCTGTAGGTATGCCTGTGCTTTGCCATAGAACTCATTTGTTCTTCATGCTGACTTGCTGATGTGACTTGCTGGCTTGAACTTGAACATGACCAGTCACTCCAGGCCTATCTAGCAGCCTCCAGACTGAGGCTGACCCTGGCTGTTGTCACTAAGCTTGTTTTGCTTTCCTTACTCATTTTCCTCTAAAGGAAGTCCATCCTGCCAGCTTTTCTGTCAGCTTCCCTGGTGGGGCAACCCTTTTCCTTTCCTTATTCTTAGGCAATGATCTACAACAGAGACACTCAGCTTGGATCACATGAATAACTGTCTTTTCTACTTCCACTGAAAACTAACCTTCAATATAATTCCATCACTTGCATTTTCCTCTCAAAAGCCACAACTCACTCAACTGTTTCAGCATTCCGTCATTTGCCTCCAGTCTGATTATCATCCAGTCACCAGTAAGCAAAAGAATAAATTCTTGGAAGTTAGCCATCACACTTAGCAGCTTTGTAAGTGTCTATACAGCATATAAGTAGCAATTTTGCAGCAATGAAGCGACTTCAGAAATTCAGAAGATATGGAGGTAAACGTTCTCATTCTCTGTACTCCATTTAGAGTGCCAAGTGGCAGAAGGAAAAAGAGATTGATGACTGCATACTTTCTAGGACTAACTTACCGTAGACAGCTTCTTCACATTCAACATTACAACAGAGAAACAGTTCCCAAAACCATGCCAAGTGGACACAGGCTAGAGCAGCCTCCTGATTTATGACTATCACAGAACGTTCAGAAATGGAGAATCATAACAATGTGTTGCTTTGATAATAAACACAGATGGAGGAAAAAATGTCACTTAACATTACTGCTTTATCCTTGGTACATAAAAGAGAACACAAATACTTGAATAAACTTTATTTAGATTATCATAGAAAAAAGAATCACTGATAGCACCAAAAAAGACTTCACAAGATAAAGGATGTAAAGGAAAGCCACATACAAGTTCATAGTAAATATACTGCTCTCTTACCACATTACACACAATATTCCTTGAAGTTGCACACTTAGGAACTAATTACTCCTAAAGCAGTTAGCAGACATTTCACTTGCCAAGTTGGTCCCTGTTTTTAAGGCTAAATCCTCTTCTTACTCATGCAAATCCTTAGAGTTATTCTAAAGAACTCAGTCTGAATAAGAAACAGACAGCTAGTCTCTTTTTGTAAGTATCTCATCTCAGCTGCTACATCTACATGCAACTGTAGAGCAAGATTGTCTTTTACACTGGATCTACCTAGGAACCAATAAATATAGTTAACATAATAAAGTTATTCACATGAAAAAAAGTTCAATTTACTGAATTTGGCAAACGTAGAAATAGTCTGCACTATAACACATCTAAGCTTGTGATTACAAAGCAGTGTTCATATAGTGGTCACAGTTAATGTTTGTTTATATTATTTTAATTAATGCTTTTCACATTCTCTATCTCACACAGCTGTTTCATCAAAAAGAACAAGCTAGAGAGTCCTTTAATTAAAAACCCTGAGAAATGTGCCAGCTGTATTCAGATATGGTTGCTTTGAACATAATGTCTCCCATTTTATTACGTGGCTCCACGTCAGAGGCAGATGGTGGTGGTGTGGCAGTAGAGGTTAAGCCTTCCCACCAATATTTCCATATATTTTGTTGCTGGTGGACACATGGCAGCAGAGAGGCAGTCTGACAAAATGGCATCTGACATGCAAATATGAAGCAAAGGGGTGGAATTAAATCCCTGAAAAAATTGCACCCATAGACATTTATCAATTCTTGCCAAAAGTTTACGGAGCCCAAACAGTGAATGCATAGTGAGGCAGCGGGTGCATTTCAGCAGTGGTGACAGCAATATGAAAGACCATGTTCCAGACGGCCATGCACAGCTGTCACATCACAAAGGGAAGAGCATCTCAATCTGCTCATCTGTGCAAATCGGCAAATGACTATGACTGTGTTGAAAAATAGTATTTCGTAGCATTGTTCTGTTGTTTGTATCAATCTATTGTTATTTCCATGTAAATAAATAGGAGGTATTACTTCTGGACTGATGTACTGGAGAGTTTAAGGTACCACAAAACAGAGCTGAGGTATGAACCTGTTTTTTTTCCATAAACTCCAAGTCCCCACATGGAAATTGTGCAAGAAAGTAGAATTACAGTTGATTGTCTCATCTTAGTTTTTGAACACAACATAAAATTTTCACTAATAACTATCCACCAAAACGCAAGCAGACTACTGTCTTCACTGAATTAATGGAAAACTAACTACAATGAGAATTCTACTCAGCAACTACAGAAAAAGATAGAGTGTGTATAAAGCAAAAGTTAGGTTTACATTCTTTTACAGACCTCTGTTTCTTTGTGTGTATCTCCTATCTGTCTGCTGATTCCAGTTACACTCAAACAGGCTCTTTGGAAACAGAACATAACTATGTTCTTCACACTTACTTATTTTACCTGATATTTGCAACACCTAATTTAAAATGCATCTTCACATTTACATAGAACTCACGAGGTATAAGCCCTCTGAACAGCACTGAATGTACAACACAGAGTTTCAGAAATCAGGTATACATCCTTTCTGCGTCTTTTTGCTACCACGTTTACTTATAATTTTGAACAATTTTTCAAATAACAAAAGAATCCTTCTCAAGAACTTGGTTACACAAATTTAGAAGCCCAAGATCCAAGGTCTCATTTGTTAAATCATTTGAAGAGGATAGAATTTTACTATACAATATACCCAAAGGTCTAGTGCTATTACAGTACTCAATATTTTACAGAGATAATCTCCATATTTTGAAATAAGAATGCAATGGCTTTCCTTGTACTAACCCTGAAAATGTTCAAATTCATAGGCAAAATCAAAAAACCTTTTCCAGAAGAAAAATGTATTTTTCTGTAGCAATAAAGTATAACCCAAGACTATTATGATTTAGAATGTAAAATTTTAGATTAGTGGTCCAACAGTACAGAAGAAACACAGGATAAGTTATTGTAAAATAAGATAATTATTCTGTCTTTCTGTCACGTGCACTGCATTATATCAGTTTAATTATGCAATGCAGGCAAATAATTCTATTTACCAATAGCAATGCCACACCCCTGACAAGACACTCAATCAAAAAAATAGACTTGCTGGAATGAAGAAAATGTTCCTGTATAAATCGGAGTATAATTATAAATCAATTCTTTTGTTTCTTCACCTTCATTGGGGAAACGGTGCAGGCTCTTCCGGGCTGTAAAACATTTCAGAAGTACAGATCACTTTACTGCTATCAGCCTCGACAGTATCTTTGTTAGCAAAGTTATTCTATGTTGCACAACAGCAAACAAAATTACAGCAATTAATATAAGAAGCATCATTAAGATACAGGTTCCGAAAGTTGTTTACAGCAGTATTTTATTAGTGAGGAGGGAGAAATTCAACTGTTAATTTAAAATCCAGGCTATAGAAGAAGGTATATTCATGAGCTATTGGCAGCATCTATCAGAGATAGCAATACTGATAATACTGGAAGAAATGCATCAGAGCATCAGCCTACTGAAAGATGCAGTGAAAACTGTGGGCTTTGTTTGTAAGGACAATAAAAACTGAATCCTGCTCTAGTTTGTCATTTTGGCAATTCTACACACATTAAAATTAGTTACTGATGGATATGAAAGTGATATTAAAAGAATAGCTTAATTATACACATATCTATGCCTTCTTAATTTCTGTCAGTTGAAAAGAGTTTACATTTTTCGCCATATGTGCATATATGTACACAAATTAATATGCACTGTATCTCAACAGGAAGAAGTTAATAGAAGAGCTTCCACATTTGCTTGGATAATAGCCATAGTAACTTTACTTCTGCTTACAAAATATATAGTGTTCTATTGCTGCACTACAAAAACAATTAAATGGACATGTTTTATACCTTTTCTTTTTTATTCCATAAGAATCTTATTAAAATCGATAAAATACAGGAAGCTTATGGATACTTTTCTACTTTTATGGAAAGCAGTGTAAGACTAAAGTATGCAAGAAATAGCCTTAAACTTGTAAATATAAGATATATATTAAAATATAACTTTTATTTCTACACACTCACTGACCATGTCAGCACACATTTTGCCTATTTTAAATCACTGTCCCTTTCTCCAATTTGGCTGCTCTTTTCATAAGAATCATAGAATGGTTTGGGTTAGAAGAGACCTTCAAGATCATCTAGTTCCAACCCCTTGCTATAGGCAGGGACACCTTCTTCAAGACCAGGTTGCTCAAAGCCCATTCAGCCTGGCCTTGAATGCTTCCAGGGAGGGGGCATCCACAACATCACTGGGCAGCCTGTTCCGAAAGTCAAGAAGTCAAACCTAGAGTCTAAACACAGTTTGGTTGTTGATTATGTTTTTTATATTCCCAGTCAATCAATTGAGACATCTTCACGAACAGCCTGAAACCAGTATTTCAGCAGAACAGTGTAGGAAGCATTGATAAATGTATAATCAAGTTTGATCACTTCAAGTACTCCTGTATTTGTAGAGTATTTAATGATAGCGAACAGACTACAATGGTAACTCGGTTTAGAACTGAGGAAGTGTCTAGAATTATGAATGGATCATTTTTTTTCATGCTAAAGTCTTTGTGCATGGGAAGATATGACATTACAGAGATCATTCAAAATGGAAGAAAATCACCGCACAAGCAAGACTTTTGGCCCACACTACTGAAAAGGTTTGGTCAACTTCTGCTACAACAGTCGGCCTTTTGATGCCACTTTTACAAAAGCATTCTATTTCCCTTACTTTTTATAAGCCTATATAAAGGTTGCAGAGTAAGCTTTTCAGGAAGCAGTAAGAGGTACTTGATTCATGTTGAAAAATAATAAACTTACCTTCATTAACAAAGAAGTCAGCTATGTAATATGCAGCTCTTACAGCTGATGAGGAATGTGGAATGCCTGATGAGTTCTTCCATTCAAAAGGATTTTTTTCTGGATGCCATTGGACACCATAAATTGGGTATTTGTATGCTGCAACAAACATATTTTCCATCAAAGCATGAAAGCAAGATCTATACCTTAAGAGTGATATGTTTAGTCTTACCGAAAAATAAAGTCAAAGGACAAGCTACAAAAAACCCTCGCTTATCAACAGCTTCACAAAAGCTTGAAGAGCAAGCTGAAATAGGTCCAAGTGTCAGGATCTCCTTGAAGGCCAGTCAAATCAGAGGCAGCTCCCATTTGGTCCATACCAGGAAGAAGCCAGTCCTTAAGTCTTGCATAAAAAACAGAGCCACAGCAGGTGATGACTGCTCTGTGATAAACTGCTTGCAGGCACAAGATATGTTATCATTAGCCTGATTACGTCTTCTGATCAAACTGCTATTCTCCTCTTCTTCTGGAGGACTGCCAGCATGCCATACAGAAGAATCCCATAGGCTGACAGCTGGACCTTATTGTAGAGCTGCTAGTCATGCACTAATCAAAATAAACCCCTCTCTAATGAGCTAATATGCTTTTTTGAGATGAGCAAGCCTGGTAGAAAACATATGTAACATGTGGTAGGGAAAGCAAAAGGATTTTGGAGAAGAACAATTACCAGCATTGGTGTCAAAGCAATGGGAGATATTGCTGTTATTTCAATATTGTGACATGTCCTCCCTGTACTCAAATAGGTAATAAACCATCATGGGAAGGCATGCATAAGCAGACAGACAACAAGCAAGATGCAACGGAGGTACACTGGAGGTTAGGCTATTACAAGATGAGTGCTATACACTTTGTACCACAGTATTGGAATATTCCAGTGTTAAAGTGTCATAGCACATCTGGAAGGGGAATAGTGAGTGAAAGAAGTAAGTAGTTAAAAATATGTACTCAAAAGAAAACTTTTCTCTGCAAATAGCACATCCATCACAGCCAGAGCACAGACAGAGCCAGCACTCACCTTGTTATTCTATCAGTAAGCTTGCACTACAAAACAGCATAAATGCCACCACATCCCCAAAACTGCTGAATAAATACTTTGTTACAGTCATATTTTAGAAAGGAAATTCATTTTCCTACCTTCCATGGTAGATATAAATTCCACTTCATCATCAGTATTAGTGGTCAGAATATTATAGAAATTATAAAGCTTTTCATTCTTTGTGAAATTCTTCAGTAAAAAGAAAAGAAAATAAAGATGTGTTATCTGTTTCTTTATTTCTAGTTTAGACAGAGAGAATGCATTTGTGTAAAACAATCAAATACCTCCATGGAAATGCTCCACACATGAAAGTTTGATGTCAACGGCTCAGTAGCAAAGGCATGTAACAAATCACTGGGAAGATTCTTGAATAATCTACTTTGTTTTGCAGCTGTCACAAAGAAAAAACAGACCCTGTCCATTATCCAAGCAGCTAACAGGCTGTCTATTACTGAATAGGAAACACATTTAATAAAATTTAATAAAACACTACTTTAAAACAAACTTTCAGGTTTCTGTGGTAAAATTTCACAATTTAAGAATGTACTGCAAAGAAATAAAAAAAAACAGTGAGATAAATCCAGAGTTGTACCGACTTTATAAAAGTTTGGTCAACATAATAAGAAAGTACTTAATCATCAAACATTCAGCAATTGTACTTCTCACAAACAAAACCACAATACCTCTCAGCAAAACTCAGACATGAGATGTAGTGGGATTTCTCACCTGATGTAAAGTTCAAAGGGAGTGAAAAACCATTTGTCTTGGTATTAACAAGTAAAATTTCACCGCTTGTGAGATATGTCAGCAACTCGTGTCCAAGACATGTTCCCCATACTGGGAAATAATCTCCTTTATCATTAGCCTTCAAAATAAACAACAACAAAATAAAGTACTGGAGATTGATGAACAGAACTTCCTATTCTTTTCACTTTCACCTCTGTAGGCGAGAAATAAAACTACTATAGCAGTAGAAACTCTACCAAACAGTTGTAACAGTTCAGCAATTGAAATAACCACATCAAATGCCTTAGTTTTTCTTTAAAAACTTTTTAAAAAAAAAAGAAAAAGAAGAAGCAGCAAACATCAGTCTAGATGATAAGTATATATTAAAAACCCCATAACATTCAGCCTATTACATACCTACTAGTGTACTGTTGATTATGGTAGCTCACCTTACATTTGTAAAACTGCTAATATTTTACAGTGCTAATCAAGTCTTAAGAGATGAACATTAAAATGCACACCCATAATAGCACAGAAAAAAAAAAAAAAAAAAGGATGAGTAAGCATTAGCTATGAAGAAGTGAAAATTATTTTCTGCCTTTTAGTCACTTTAAGGACACGTGTCAACCAATAAGTCTGCCTCTTTGGTCATAAATTTATGACATACACAATTTGTTGTGAAATATCAATAGAATTTTGTAATAGTCCTGCAAACACTAACAGGAAACCACAAGAAACCACTGCCCCAAGCTGCACTTTACACCATGAGCAGTTTTGTAGAGACAAATGAGATCACTAGTTTCATAAAATTGTAAGACTCAGGTTGAAGGTGACAGATGAGTAATCACTATGAAAAAAGACAAGAGACAGATGATAGAAGAGCAACATTAAAATCATAGGGACTGAGCAGTATGAAACTGGTGCACTGAGCTGCAGCTGACTGGTTCTGTGGATGCCTGTGCTTTCCTGGTCTGATCTCCATTCCTTTCAACAATACACTTAGAAGACAGTAAAGTTTTACTTCAAAATGTGTTTATTATCTAGAAAAAAAAAAGAATCTCTTATGCTCAGAGAGAATTAAATTTTCCATAAGGATTCAGAGCCTTCCTGATGTTCCCTGAAAGAAATAGCTTTCCCACAAATTCAATCTTTTCCTAAAAAAAAAAAACCTAATGATTAGCAATAAAAAGTACTTAATACCACCCTTCACATGCCTTTTGTCATGTTATAAGTTAAATTAGTGAAAATCTGTTCTATTTACAGCTACCAAGCCACTGGTAATTAGTACAATGAGGTAACATGCTAAAGTAGACATTTCACATGCACCTTCAAAGATGTATTTAAATCTACTTACGTCTAAGAAAAAAGGTGCTTCACTAACTGTAGAATATATTTTAGGAGAAGCTTTAACATTACATGATTGTAGACTGGATTGTTAGAGAGCCTCTCTAGAATTCCTTCTGAGTCTAAGCCTTATTTATGAGAGATTTACTAAGAATTATATTTAGATGCATCTTTAGTCAGCATTGAATGTCCCTGGATACTTTGTGTTTTTTGAAAGCTTTATTGTTACTTTATTGCAGGTTCAGAACAGCAATGAAGCCCCTAGTTACAATGAATAAAATGATAACTGGAATTCAGGACAATGACACCACATATAACATGAGAGGGTGTCAGATATATGAATCTTAAGCTTTGAAATGATTTTTTAAGCAGCAGCTAGTAACGAGATACTTATTATCAGGCTTATGGTTAACACATTGGATGCCAGTGGGAAACTAGAATATGAGCTTCCTTGTCATTTTGATCTTTGAACAGTGACAACAAGAACAGACTGTTCCTTAGTAATTACCTCTAATGCCTTGCGGTAAAATATCTTAGCAACCCTGGAATATTCTGAAGTCTTAAGATCCACACCACCTCCTGGAAAAAGAACCCTGAAAGGCAACATCCAAGAACATGATTAGCAACAGTGAATAGCGGTGATCCAATTAAAACCCAGAAGTGTAAAGAGAGAAAAGTCTGACAGTGGCTTTAAGGGTCTGGATTAGGGCATCTAGATTGCTGAAATCTATAAATAGGAAACTAAGGTTCCACCAGGAACAGGAGGGATCTAGTCAGAAAAGACAATGGCAATTCAAATACATTTTCTAGAGAAGACACTCAACTGGCTGGGAGGTGAATAGCCCAGTAGGCTTATTGTACTGATGAGCTCTCCATTAATTATGTGATAACTGTCTAAACTAAAATATGTAGTTACATCAGTCTTATTCATTTGCATTATCCTAGTGTTTTACTGAATCACATTCTAAAATTTTGTTCTTATACTAATAAATGATTATTAGCAAAAAGATACGACCAAAAATAGCATAGAGAAAGAGAGAGGTGAAAAAAAAAAGAGAATACATGAAACAGAGATACTTCTGCTGCTATACAAAAGAGTTGTCTGCAATGACTCCATCAAACCCTACCCAAGCTCCAAGCTACCTCTTCCTATAACGTTAAAATCCTGGCCCTATTCTCAATTCATCCTGTTCCATTTAAACAGAGACAAATTTATGAAGAAAGGTTGAGGAAATTGAGCTTATTTAGCTTGGAGAAGAGAAGGTCCCATAGAGACCTCATTGTGGCCTTTCAATACTTGAAGGAAGCATATAAACAGGAGGGGAAATGGCTGTTTACGAGGGAGGATGGTTTTAAACTGAGATAGGGGAGGATTAGGATAGATATTAAGAGGAAGTTTTTCACTCAGAGGGTGGTGACACAGTGGAACAGGTTGCCCATAGAGGTTGTGGATGCCCCATCCTTGGAGGCATTCAAGGCCGGGCTGGATGTGGCTCTGGGCAGCCTGGTCTGGTGGTTGGTGACCCTGCACATAGCAGAGGGGTTGAAACTAGATGATCATTGTGGTGCTTTTCAACTCAGGCCATTTTATGATTCTATGAAATTGTACCCCTTCTTATGGAAGATAATACAGATCAAAAAGTTCCCACTGAAAAGTGAAAAAGTATACTTGGCTGTAACATTTGGTCACGGAGGATCTAATTTAGCTAAATAAGACACAGAATCTCAGAGGCTATTTCAAAAACAAATAGTGTGCAATCTTCTTCCTCCATAAAAATAAACTTTAAAAAAAAAAAAAAAAAAAAAAAAAAAAAAAATGTAGCCTCCCATCTCTGTGTGGCTTCCCAACTACAAAAACGACAAAAGCAAAAGACTTCATACAGTCTAACAGGTTTCATACATGCAAATAAATAATGACATGCACAATCAAGTACTTCTATCAGTAAGCAAATGAAGTCTCTTTCAGATAAAACTGGAAATAATCGAATGACCTCTCTAACCCACTGTAGTGGGAACTCAACTGGATTTACTAGAGCTACCTCCAGCAGCCACTGAGTTTTCACAAAAACAACTGAAGGATTTCCTCAGCATTTCTGATCTCTGGAAACAGTAACATGTAACTTGTTCTAGCTACCTTGTTAGTATCTCAGTGATACATTTCATAAGATCCCAAGCATCTACAAAGTGAGTGAGTATGCACTTAAACTCCTGGGACTAGGTTTATGTCAAGGTAAGCAATTCACAGGATCTGCAAAAGCCATCAAATATTTTCTGGAAAAGTAGAAGTGTATTCACAACAACATAAATTATTCTCTAGCTTGAATTTAGAAAATGAATATAGCTGAAGATATTCTCAAAACAGGACAAATTACAGACTTCTGCAGAGATTTGTTTAGACAAATATGGTGATCCTCATATGGAAGACACGGGAAATTCATTTCACCTGTTCCTTCTGTTCAAACTGACCAACATTAATTAAAAAAAATAAATAAATAACTGACATTTCTTCTAGAACAAGATGGAAGTAACTCATTAAGCAACAATGATAATGGCTTGTTATTGTGATAGGCAGGTTGAAATGCACCTGCCTGTATTCTACAATCTCTCACTGATTAGAGCTGATGATGTTCACCACAGATTTCAAAGACTGTCTCAGAAATACAAAGCTATACTCATAAAATTCTACCTCTGCTATAGTAACTTTCATGGTCTTAAGATGAAGGCATTTAATAATAAAGAATTTCCAACTGCAAAGAACCTCAAGCTAAGGTCTCACAACATGAAAGATCAATCTATTTAATTCTTATACTAAGTTCCCACAGTACAGAGAGTCCTTCTCCCCACAGATCCCATTTGTTATACACAACTGTATTACGGAAGCCATGAGCTGACAGTGGAGTGTAATGAGAGGAAATATAGATCATTCTTACCCACCTACATAGCACAGACCCAACTGTCAACCTCAGCAAAGACAGAAGGATAAGAGAAGAAGATCTATTTGCCTAATACTCCACTAAGCATTGACAAAGACTGGGGGGTAGAAAGGAGATTCCATTGTTTATAGTCCTTCTGGTATGAAAAGAGAGGGTGGCAGTCATGAAAAAGTGATGAAATCACTCATTTTGTCTCCAGTACAAGAAGACACAGGGAAGAAAGGACAATTGCCTTACACTTCCTTTTTTTAGAACACTCTGAAGACCCACATCTTAATGTGTAGGGAATACTGTGGGGCATAAGATGACACAGCTCTCCCAGGACAGACACTGGTCTAAACATGCAAGCTTTAGTCATGGTGATTAATGTTGTTATATGCATAAGATTTATGAAAATATGAATGGTCTAAGATGTTCATCTCATGACTACAAGTACACCAAGCATGTGCTATGGGATCACACACAAAATCACTGAAGTGTAGCACCATTTGATATAACTTTTCTAAAGTATGATTGTAGCACAAGCTGAACATAAAATATTTTGATTTTCCTTACATCACAATTAAAAGTGTGTTAAGCTAGATCACATGTGGAAAACGTGGAAAGACGACACAGGGGACAGTTACCAGAGGTCAGCTGACAGTTTGGAATATGTTTGTCTAACAGAGACCTAAGCCTCAGAAACAGGCAAGATTGACCATTCAAGATGGAAAGAGCCCAAAGAGAAAAGTGTAGAAGAGAATGGAAATCAGAAGCCTTGATGATGGAGGATCTATGGAGAGTATTGAAAGAGAATGGGAGAAGAGAGAAGATAGGGTTGGAGCAGAGAAGGCTGAGTGATGACACACCCAGCAAGAGGTATTACATTTCAAAATCAAGGTGATAGCTCAAAGGAGAATGAGAAAAAAAGGAAGTGACCTACTTCAGTTGTAAAGAATAAACCAATTGTTAACCTCTGTCACTCCACTTCTGACTACCTGCATCGGAGAATACTAATAGGAGTCCTGACAGTGTTGCAGAGAATCTGGCATGCTCCAAATGGAAGAAAATGGAGCAGATCTACATGGGATGAAACAGTGCTCTGTCTTAGAACAGATTTATATGTCTGCAGTATTCAGCACAAGCTTTCAAGAGAGCAGAAAGACAACATCCTTGAGAAAATAGCAGATTGCAAAAAAAAGAATTATCAGTATTTCAGTAGAAAAACAATGCTCAAAACTTACCCATTAATAGAGTGGAATATTTTATCATATTCTTCATCTGAAAGATTTAATCTGAAATACCAAGAAAATAATTACAAAACACATTATATATGTATATATATAAAGCCATAAAAATATCATAGTTATTGAACTGAAAGAAGTAGTATAGAAAATATATAAAAAGTATGGTTTAAACATTCAAAATAAAATACTCCAAGTGCAAATGAAACAGGAACCTGTCAGGTATGGTTCAGGATTAGATACTCTGAGACCCCTTTGCAACCGATCATTAAATTTAACATTTACATAAATGGTGTGGCTATTATTTCCTGCAAACTGGCAACTCCGGTTTCTGATTGATCCCAAGATGTGCAGAACTGCAAACATTTGGTCACACCCATTCTTCAGAAAAGACTGACAGGTGGAAAGATCAGTAAACATCAGGAAAACAGTACGATGGCTCTACAAATGTGTACAATGCAAAATGTGTACACTGCGTATATTCAGTGTCCAGCTTTGCAGTATCTAACTAAGCTTAAAAAACTGGAAGCATCCATCCAATGTGTGATCAGCAAAACTTCTGGTCAGCATCTATTCTGAAAGCTCCACTAGCTACATGAGGAAAACTAGCTTAAAATTCAGGTACTTCACCATTGTCCTTACTGGTCTGTGTGGGTACATCCCATTATGATTTTTTTGATGCTCCATTAGTATCATTTTTATGATTCTCACTTAAACATCTGACAATATGCATTTACTACTCTAGAGCCAACTGCTGGCTATGAAGCACATCCAGTTCTTCTACTTACTCTATTACTTTTTACTCAGGAACCAAAGTATTACACAGTAGGATGCCAGTGACTCACACTTTGAGCAAAATTGGCCTTGGATTTCTTCAAGGACAGTCTTTCCCCATTACTTCAATTCTAGGATGACAGAATGTGACAAAAGATAGTATCTCTCCAGATACATGTGTTTGTTTGGCAGACTGAACACAACTAACTTCAAAAAACCACCAAGGTGAACTAGAAGGGGTAATTAAAAAAAATTAAATTAAAAAAAAAAAAAAAAAAAGACTTTGGTAAAAAGAAATATTAAAAATTACACGTTCCAGCCTACTGCTATCCTGATTTTTAAAACAGCTCACAAACTGTGGCACCTTTGAATAGTTGTTGATGAGCTGTAAACACTCAGAAAATCAGCACGACTGCTGCCTGAGCCTCCAATAGCCTCACGTTAACTGTTACCCACTTCAGGGGATATAAAACCCACCTTATTGGCACGATGCGGGCACCGGCAGACTCCAAGAACTTCACATACGAAGCCGCTATATACGAACTTCCGAATTTGTGGAACTCATCAAAGTGACATTCCTGTGACAGTATCCCTGAGAGGTCCGAGAGAGAAAATCAGCACGGTAAGAAATGTTTCATGCAACTGTTGGGCACAGCAAGAAAAATTAGACTCCAATTTCTCACTCTGCCTCCAAATTACAGCGTTCCCTGCGCTGTCCAATGACAAAAGGTGGGACAGCAGGCATCAGTCACACCGCCGGCTCACAAGGCACCGGACAAACACGTTTCACCTAACTCCCCTCTTTTAACTACGCAGTAACAACTTCTCTTAAATAAGCCCCGTTTTGCGTCTCCGCTGAACTACGTACAGCACTGCAGGTCTCAGCAACAAAGGCTCCAGCAGTCAGAGCTCGCACAGTCTAACCACCATTTCGCGACTTTCACACCACAGAAGCCCGCAGGGTTTCGGTTTTAGGAGCTACGTGCGGAGGATCAACGCGCAGATATCACACGGCCGCCCCTTACCGACGATGGGCCTCTCGTTGGGCTCCGGCTCGCGGCCGCGCGGGACGAGCGAGGCGGCGGTGGCACAGCGGAGCAGGAGCAGGAGGACGGCGGCGGCCGGGAGCGGAGCGAGCCTCGCTGCGCGCTCCATCGCCCCTCGACCGCTGCCGCTCCGAACAAACAGTTCCGCGACCGGCCGCGGGGCACGCTGGGAAATAGAGTCCCGCCGGCCCCGCCGCCGGCCGTCGGGCACCGGGCGCAGCGGGAGCATTTCTCGCCGTTCTCCTCACGCTGAGCTGGAGGAGGCGGCCGTGCCCCCGCGGAGGCAGGGCTGGCAGCATCCTCTCGCCGTCCTCCGGCTTCCCAGCGGCCTTGGCGCTGAGGGTTGAGCTATCAACCGCTTTTCGCGGCCGCCGTGGCTTAAGAGCAAGCAGCGCGCTTGCAGCCCGGAAGGCCGACACTATCCGTGGCTGCAACGCAAGGGGGGTGCCCAGAGGGAGAGGTGGGGGATTGTCCCCTCTGTTCTGCCCACGTGAAGTTTTGCGTCCAGTCCTGGGGCCCCCAACACAGGAAATGTTGAAGTGGCCCAGAGGAGGGTCGCAAATTGATCAGAGGGCTGGAGCATCTCTCCTACAACGACTGGCTGAGGGAACTGGGCTTGTTCAGCCTGGAGGAGAGAAGGCTGCGAGGAAGACATCATTGCAGGCTTCCAGTGCTTAACAGGGAGTGTATGAACAGGGGGGAGACTGGCTTTTTACATGATTTGATAGTGATAGGACAAGGGAAAACAGGACAATAGGGAATAGGCAGCTTGAGCTGGCGGTGGCAACCTACCACCCATGACAGGAAGTCAGAACCATATGGTCTGAGATCCCTTCCAACCTAAGTCTATGATACCGTGGTATCACCAGCAGGAGTACAAAACCATAACACTTAGTGAAAGTAATTCTAGTTACACTGAAAAGTAACTAAAGCTCTTCAAAACAGGACAACACTGGTTGAACTAGAAAAGGTTTATTAATATAATTATATTAACATGTAAAAAAAAAATTAAAATGTGCATTAAATCATGCTTTTAGGCAGTAGCAGCATTTAACAGCAAGTTTATTTTTTAAAGGCACTCCCGGTCTTGTTAGAGAAGAATAAGGCATGTGCAAATTCTTGTTTACAACTGACCTACCTCCACACATCACGTTTTCCCTTTTATTATGCAAATGTCCTGATTATTTTATGTCATCATCATCAGTGACAGCTGTTCCTTGTCCAGAATTTCTAAGTTCTACTTTACATGTAAACATTAAAAATAATTATCAGTTCATGAAAAAACAACTGTACTCAGTGCTCTATTGCATTACATGTTCATGTTACCATTTGATAATAGGTTCAGGATATTTTTGACCATATTTAGGACTTCATCAATATATCATAGTTCAAATAAAGATAAAAGCTATTTTTTCTCTACATACGCAATCAAATGAAGGAATTAAATTTCTTTCTGTTAGATAAAATAGCAACAGTAAGAGATTAGTTTCACAGGAACCTGTTCACAGGAACATGGTTCTTTCCTTTATATGGTATACATTCAAGGATTAAAACAGAGAGCATAGCAATAGTGCAATAGCTTCAGATCTCTGTCTCATAAATGACTTGGAACTTGAGTTATACATCTGAAGAACTGCCAAATGACTACTTATTTTCTTATAAAAATAATCACCTCAACTGAACTATTTAAAGAGCTTTTTCATATCACAAAATAGCTCAATCAGATAAAAATAAGGATATGAAATATATGAATATATGAAAAATATTTATTTGAATTTAGGCTCTGTATCAAAGATATCCTGAAAGAAAAGGAGGAGAATGCACTTGAGGAAATAACTGAAAAAGGAAAATCCTTGTCAGTTTTGAAGGAACTTTCTATCTGACATTCACCTTAGGTAGCAAAGGAAACTATGACCAACACGTACTGTGTAGGCCTTTCACAGATGTTGTACATGATAATAAAAAACAGCTTCTGCTAGCTTTTGCAATAATGAAGTATCAGTGATAAACTAAAACAAGATGCTTCTGATTTCATAGGATATTCTCTTTTCTCTCTCTTAAACATATATTAATACAACATCCCAGAGTCCTACAGATTTTAAAATAACAGAAGTTAGCATTTCTAGCTACCTGAGAAGTACGTTGTTATGATGAACGTTTATATGGAATGCTAAATGTTTAATATTTATGTGAACACTCTCTGGCTTGTTATGAAACTGATAAAAACTGTGTATACAAACTCCAGCAGTTGGTGTATTAACAGAAATTTTAACAACAACAACAACAAAAAACCTTACAAAAAAACAAAAACTGAAAAATAAATTATCATTTTAGATTATTAAATCTTAGGGAATGTAGGATGATACTGCTGTGTAATACATGCAGCAGTTAAACATGAATCACGTCCCTTTAAAAATCTATTTTCCGTAAGTACAGACAGATTTTTTTCATTATATAAACACAGAAGAGAACTCAGCAGAAATTAATAACAAATTTTTCCAGTGTCCAACACTACATAGGCTGGCAAGTTGTCAATCACTTTTCTGAAAATAAGAATCTCCTAGGCATCTCCCAGGCTAAGGTCCAAAGCACCTTTAAAACACACAGCAGCTATTTCTAAGTTTCTGATCTACAAAGAATCTAGATTTGTAGGGTGAAGATCTACTTCACCTTGGAAGACAAATACTGCAGCCAGCAAAGAGCAGTTGACCTGTGCAGCAGTCTACAACAGGAATTAAAAGTGTTCACCTTACTTAGTTGCTTATAGCTTATCCACAGACATTATCTCTTTGAAGAACGAAAATCAAAATTTGATTTTTTTTAACTCTCTTACCAGTTCCTCCTGATTCACACTCTCCTTTGAAGAATATGTATATGGCATTTTCCTCATCTTCCCCATGAACTACTAGATTACTGTGTCAATTAGCACAAGAAGGGAAGCTGCATAAGCAGCACAGAGATAACAAATGTTTCAGTACTGATGACTAATTCATAATTTGACTGTGTAATCTTAGCAGCACAAACTAACAAAACAGCCATTTCCCTGAGAATCAATTTGAAAAGCAGGTCCTACTTGTAAATTAGGCCTGTATTCATATTTCTGCATCTAGTCTACCCCATCTATATTCTGTTCTACTTTAATTACTTGGCTTTGTATCTTATCATCTTGACAAGCCAAGATAGAAGAACTGAGCATAAAGGTTCTGGACTGCATTAATATAGATGAGTTGTCTTCCAAGACTTAAGAGTAGCAGTATCAATATCTGATATACAATGTACAACTCCTGGCATGCAACTTTACCAGTTACAAACACACAGAAATCATTAGTCTCCTCAGACATACATATTGATATTCTCCAGTTAGTATAAAAGTGCAGTGATTGTAATTCTGCTCTGAAAAGACATTCTGCTTTCATTTACTATGATTTCAAGTTTACAAGAAAGATTTCATATGAAATTTATTTCCACTTCCAGTCTTCAGGAATTGATAGAATACTCTCATAAGTTTATTCATGGGCAACCAGAGAAATGCTCTGGAGATAATCTGCAGATGCCATTATGAAGTCAGTCCATTCCTTGGCCAGCTCTTCAAAGGAGACTCCTTCCCCACCATATTCCTGTGGGAGAATGCTGACTGGAAAGTGTTCAGTCAGACTCTGCATGTAGTTACTTCCATGCATATACACCTAAAACAAAATATGAAAAAGCATTTACTTCAGTATAAATGCTAGACTCATGAGTAAAAACAGACAGCAAATAAATGCAATACAAGCACTTAAGATTGGATCCACTAAACAAGTGTTCACAATGAGCTCCTTCAGTGAGGAAGTACAATTTAAGTCCAAAACTCACTACACCCATATAGCTAAAATGATCTGTACCGGGGGACTGGGGCTTAGTCTTGTCCTGAGGTGTGTCCTGTAGTTGTTTATCAGTCATTCCAGGGGAAAAAAAAGTGCTCAGCACCTGGCCATTACTATCTGGTCCTGCTACACACATGAGAAGACAACATTACGTACAAGGTATGTAGGTTCATACAGGTGCCAAGGGGGATATTCAGAAGAAACTATACCTCTGACTTACATTACAGTCCACGTAATTCAGTTCTAATTAAATCAGATCCTGGACTGCTCTTCTCCAGTTTAACCTTTGAATGGTGTAGTTTCAGTTGCTATTTTCTTGCTTTATTAGAGCTAACTTGAAGCCTTCTTCATTATTTTTGGTCAAAAAATTTTTATAGGTTTCTTATTAACAGTTGACAAGAATTTTCTGATTATTAACACTGTTTGTTGACAATTTCTCACTGTCATTTGTAGACAGTGCGTCTAGAGGTCTGGAACCTATTTCTTGCTAATTCTGCAGAAGATATGTTATGTGATCTTAAGCAAGCTATTTAAACTCCCTGTTACTGTATTTTTCAGTTGTTAGAGTAGTGACAGAATCATAGAATGGCCAGGGTTGGAAGGGACCTCAAGGATCATGAATCGCTAACCCCTGCCACATGCAGGACCACCAGCCTCCCCATTTAATACTAGACCAGGCTGCCCAGGGCCCCATCCAATCTGGCCTTGAACACCTCTAGGGACATCCTAGAGGTGTTCAGGAGAACACATCTAGGGCATCCACAATCTCTCTGGGCAGCCTGTTCCAGTACCTCACCACTCATAGTGGTGAGGTGCTGGAATACCTGACATTCAACCTAAGTCTTCCCTCCCTCAACTTAAAATCATTTCTCCTTGTCCTGCAGTTATCTACCCTTTCAAAGAGTTGATTCCCCTCCTGTTTGTAGGCTCCCTTTAGGTACTGAAAGGCTGCAATGAGGTCACCTCACAGCCTTCTTTTCTCCAGGCTGAACAAGCCCAACTCCCTCAGCCCTCCTCCCAACTACTGGGGAAGTGCTCCAGTTCGTGGCCCTCCTCTGGACCCTCTCCAACAGCTCCCCATCCTTCTTGTACTGGGGGCTCCAGACCTGGACACAGTACAGCAGATGGGGCCTCACAAGAGCAGAGTAGAGGGGGACAATCACCTCCCTGTCCCTGCTGGCCACCCCTCTTCTGATGGAGTCCAGGATAGTATTTGTTTTCCGAGCTGCAAGAGTACATTGCTGGCTCACGTTAAACTTTTCATCCATCAGGACCCCAAGTCCTTCTCTGCAGGGCTGAGTGACAACAGCAACTGTTACATTATTGATAACTGCAGATGTTTTACAGATAGATTACAGAGGCCACTATAGTACTAAAACGATCTACTAAAATGATTTATCCTTTTCAAAGTTCAGATCCTAAGGGAAGTGTCGTAGATTGTTGTGTAGGGGTTTTGTGGAAGAAATAAATGTTTGTGTGCACTCACCCGTTGCTTTATTTTTTCAGTGAGAAAAGGCTTAATTAGAGCGAAGACTGGATGGAATAATAAAGGCTCATTAATCAAGTGGATACCTCGAACTTTTAGT